TCTCCATTTAAGCGCCGTCTTCGGCGCTCTTCCTTGTCAACCTCACATGTCAACCATCACAACGTTGTCAGTGCCGTGAGAACTGCCAAATAAAAGATGTCTACCTGTAACATCACAGATCCCTTCTGTCAATTTTGGAGGGAAATGTGCTGACCAAAATGCACGTCTATTTCTGGTAGTAGGAATACAGGCCTAAAAGTAGAGTCATTTAATAAAAGATGAGGCTTAAAATAGTTTCGTGGAGGTAGGAGTTCACGTATATTTCTCCTTGCTACTTCAAAGCTGCCCAGATATATCTACGTATCTGGGTTATATCCAGTTAGTGGAGAGGTAGAGGGGGTACCTCGCGTCTACAAAGTTTACATCTTAAAGTAGGTACCGTAGACAGCTCCGTAACGAACTATTCCAAGGAGTCCACGGCCAGTGCCGCTTCGATTGCTAGTAGCATTTCTCAAGAGCACAAGACTGGAGTAGTTACCGAACGTAGACGGCTTTTTCTGCTCCTCTGTTGGGAGTCGTCACCGATTCGCCCGTCCGCAATGGATGCCCATCTTCAGTCACATTAAGGTTTGGAGTTAGAGTCCTTGCCCTTTGGGATAGGGTTCGTTTCTACTTCCACCAATGCAATGCCTCGAGACTTCTCTGAAGACGAAAGAAGGCAAAATATTTGAGCAGAATATGTAGAGAAAGGCTCTGAGTTACTGACGTGATCCAGAGGTCAGGCCGCCCGGCGGAGGTATAATGGTAAAGCATTCAGTCCCCTTAAAACCAAAACAAAGCGTTAAACAGGTATGAAAAGTGTTATGGCAATACCACCTTGAAACTGTGAGTTGTGAATTCAGCAGTAGGTGTTAAAAATGTAGGCTTTTCAACATTTTTTTTAATCCCAGTTCTGAAAGTTCTTTCAATGCCCAAATCACACCTATACAAAAATAAAGTGGTTTTCAAATTTACCTACAACATTAAAGGGGGAGGATTTACTCAAAATAGATTTAACAGTGAGGGTGTAGAAAATCCTTCAAATGAGTTCTTTATTCCAATTAATGTTCCATGACGTGTCAAATGGGGCCGGAAATGTCGTGAATGGTCAAGGCTGACTGCTATTCCAGTTTCCTCTTTGTTGCCGTGGCGGCTGCAAAAGGCCTCAACCGACAGAGATCGCACCACTCCAAACCGTGACCATAAAGTTCCTGGGAGAAAGGGTAGAAACTGGTGTCATGGATCTAGTGCCACCACGAAGAGATGTAACCTATGCACTCTGGTTGTGGTGGACTACTTCACGGTGCTGGCCTAGGCAGAACCCGCGACGATTCAAGACACAAAAACGGTTGCTTCGGTTTTCTTCAATTGTTGGACTTGTCAACATAGAGTGCTGGGAACGGCGCATAGCGACCAAGGTACTAATTTCGAAGGTCGACCCTTTCTTAAACTATGCAAGACCCTCTGGGTTTCCTTGCCATGCACGACATTTGGACATCTGCAAGGTAAGGGACATGTGGAACGACTGAACTGCTGAAAGCTCTTATTGGGGATGAACACCTAGAAGTCTGGCATTCAAGTCTTGACCGATGTCGCCTTGCATACAGCGGCTTTTTCCAGTTCAAGATGCTCACGGGTGGTGAATTGGGTGGATTACCAACCGACCGTGCCTTACGAAACACGGAAGTAGTAACCCGCAATTTCCCCAAAAAGGCAGCTCCAACCTAATTTTTCTCTCAAAATCCACTTTATTCCTAGAGTCACTCATAAAAGTTCGTTTGGACAGTATTTGTGAGTTGATTTAACTACTCCTAACTTCACTGAACTCATAAAGTCCTTTTTACTTCCACAAAAGAGTGCATAGTGCTCAACTCATGGAAACAAGCGCAAAAGTAATTAAAGACTCCCTGTAAAAAATGAGGTCGCTGTAGCTCGTTTCTTCATAAATCAAGACATTTTTAAAATATCTACTGTGTTTTATTAAGGTACGAGAGGAAATTCTAACCCTTTAAGGGAAAACTACGCCCAAGTGAACCTTCACCATTATGGCCTTGTCCGCAGCCTCAGAGCCCTCCAGCTTCCTAACGAGGAGCCATTCTTCTACATCAGGGGGTCATACTACAGCCTCTGGAGGAAGGCCTCGAGGTTATTTCCCATGTCACCATTCTGTTGACTGTTTAACTTGATATCCGGATGATGGTTTGATGGGGTGACTACGGGGGATGAGAATTCTGAAAAGTGGGGCTTTCCTTCGATATAGGGGTTACAACCGAAGCCTCTGAAAAAAAATTCTTTTTAACTCGTCTCTTCATAGTCCTGTCACTATTTAATTGACTTTTGGCAGTGATCTTGCCATAAAGTTAAATATTGTAAATTGCGGGAAGTCTTACTGGGTCCTGATTATCAAGAGAGTTCCATCAACCATCGCCATAAAGCAGAGCGGCAAAGATCTTCCCTGCCTTTATAAATAAATAATTGGTTATTCCACTTAGTCTATTTCTATACCCTTTAATTTTGCTGTATTCTAAGTACTTTAAGGCAAATTTTTGCTAAAAATATCACCTTTGGGCGTGATTTGATGCTACTAATTTTCGCAGGAAACATCAGTAGTATCTATTCCCTCGCCCACATTTGAACATATGGATTTTGGAGGCTCCTAGAGCCTTGCCTGTCCGTTATTCGCCATTGGCGGTCGGTGTTTCTTATTGGCCAGCTGTTGTCCGAACGTGCATCGATAGATCCAGAAAAATTTAGCCGATTTCCAGTTTTTTGCCCATCGGGAAGAAATTTGTCTGTGGTTAGCACAATTATTCTAACCGTTAAAAGTGAATGCAATATTGATACAAAGTGGCCTTTTATTGGTTACAAATGTAATTGCTTGCAGAAATCGATAATGCTCTTGTAAAAAAGGGTTTGCAGTTCCCCAAGGCACTGGCAAGGGTCACGACCGCAAACGTAAACTCGCGCGCCGATTGGTCGTGCGATCTGGGACACGGCGCTGGACAAACAGACAAAACGCGCAATCCTGGTCACGTAGGCAGGCAGCAAACTTGGTGGGGCAAGTTTGTGTTCTGTGCAGTAAATAACCTAGTACCCGTCTTTGGAGAGTAAAACTTAACAAGTTTTCGACTTTAATAAATGATGAAATTCACCAGGCATGAACATTTGCATGGGCAATTGCAAACCCCTTTCGCTTGGGGAAGATTTTGGGCAAGAAAGTAGAATCCTTTTGCCCACTAATCAAGTTAATCGAGACCTCCGAGATTAAGATGTGAAAGTTAACGAGTGTTGGGTGGTTTGCACTTCTACAACTGACCTAGGTGCGTTTACATTTGTAAACCACATTAAGCTTGCTTCAACGATGACCCCCTAAGGACAGCTGACCTTGATGATTGTGATGGGAAATTTCAGTCAATTCGAGGGAAATATGCAAAGATTTGGAAAAAATTGAAGTTAAATTATGGGTTTCTTTCGATGAATAGGAAAGATCATTACCCAGTAGACAGGTTAATTATTTTATCCCAGCTTCTCCACCTTCTGGCCTATTAAATGCCATTGAGGTCTAAATGCTCTCCCATCAATGTCATAGAGCCATCTGACACCCATTGTTGGATTATTTTTTAGCGAAGTAAGTTGCAAAGATGGATGTTGACTTTGTCTGGTGGTAATTGGACAGGATATAAACTTTTCTGAGGTATGCCAAAGATCATACAATGAGTCGTATCAACAGATCCTCCTCTCTGCATGCTATGCCAATCCACATTTATTTTGTCACGCCAGATGAAGTATTTGATAAAAAGTTTTTCACACTCTTTCCTCAGAATAGGAAATGGGTATATTTTACCTGCAGAAAATGGAAGGGAATCATGAAATATTTTAAGACCTCATCTCTAGGTGCCCGTCATGGCAAATAACTGCTGTGATTTCTCTCCTGCAGACTAGCATTGCCGGAATTTGGGGTAGGCACTGCTCGTAAATATGCCAACCACATTTGGAATGCGAATGTGCAGCACTTCTGACTAGTCTTATGCCGGGATCTCGGAGCAACATGGGCCCCACAGTCCCGGCACTTTATTTTTCTAGTGCGGCACTAACTGTTTTACATTGCTTCTAAGTCAATTCCTCCCCAAAAAAATTAATAAAACAGATCCTTGAAGCACGTATTTTAGCATTTTAAATTCGACCAATCCGCTTTATTTATCGTAGACAGATGAAGAACATGTGTCACATATTTGTGACGTACTGACGCGGATACTGACAGGAACTATGCATTGCCTATCAGTTAGCCAGTAGCAGCAACCGGCACTTTCCAGCTTTGTAAGGTATGAGAACGATCTACGAGGAAGTAAATGCGACACATCAAGCGAGGTGAACGGGACGAGCCGATAAAACTGTTTATAAATCAGAGCCAGAAATTTGACATCCAGATCATCTAAGTTAAATGAGACCACAGCTATACAATCGGTTGAAACTTGAAAAATCCGGGGAGATAAGTGCTAAACCAATGCCCATTTCCAAATCGGAATTCCGAAGAACCACTCTGAAAGTGGCTCTACCTCATTAAACTTTCTCTCCACCAAGCCTCCTTCGATGAGGTCACAGCAATGAATTTACAGGATTGAAGCCGCTACTACCACTTCTAGTAACTATCAGAAAATTTGACTAGCTCTTTTGTAGTGTAGACTCGATCAACTTCCCTTTTTTTCTGTCCAATCCAAGCACAAAAGGGCGCTAAACGAGCTACCCCTTTTGGCATGCAAGTCAACCTAAGAGATAGCCTGACGTTAAGTGCATCCGCCCTAAGGAGTGAAAATAACAAGGAAATGGCAGAATATAGAGCGCAATGTACCCAACAAACAACAAACAAAGATGAGCATAGAAAGCTAAAACGATCGAGAGGAATACATGCGTTAGCAATCGAAATGACATGCGAAGAGATTGCTAGGACCAATGTGTTATTCCAATGTTGCAGTTGGAAGTAGGCGTCCTTGGAGAAGCAGCAGACTTGAGTCTACGAGTCTTTACCATTTAATACCAGAGGTGGTTTCAAGCAAAGTCTTCGCACTTTGGTGCAACTTGGCCTTCTCGCTGTCGGTAAGACTCATATTCACCACTGAAGTGACTCCACTAGCGTTCACTACGCAAGGCATGCTTAAGAAGACGTCCTCCTTAATGCCGTAGAGGCCCTAAAAGGAAAATCAAAAATTCTAGGCAACTCAATGCATTGCCCGCTCCTTTTGGGTTGTCACCTCAAGAGTTTTTAAATCTCTCTCCTTGTCTTCGTTGATTCAAACACAAATTCTGACTAGGTCAACGTTTTAAGTCATTAACTCCGAAGATGTGGTTGATTAGTGAACGCTCGGCTTAACGATGGCTTGAGTAGTTTACTCCGCCCAGATTATTTCTATCTCGAAATTTGACTTTAGCCTCAGACCCACTTACTGCATAGCATTCAATTGAAGGAATTTTCGCAAGCTCCTTATATCTGCTGATTCTTTAGATAAACTAGGCTATTTCATCCCACAATTGCAACAAGGATATGTCAGTTCTCCTGTCAACGGCTTAAACAAAGTTATTTTCACTCTGAAAATAATTCTCCACCCTCTTAGTGCACAGAATTGTGCTGAAATTTTCCAGTTTCAGGTTCAACATGTTCAACATAAGAGAATCCTTAGTAAAATAACTAGAATATTTGAAATAGAACGGTACTTAACGGTATAAAAGGATAATTTTCCAAGAATACGGCCTTATAAGTGTCAAATGAAGAAGTTACCGCAACATTCGTAGTCACGGGAATCACGACATTGCGATCACTGAGAAGTGCTGCGCAGAGATTAGCACAACAAAGCCCAATAGCCCATGAAGTGTAACCCTTCAAACGGATTATCTCGTACGCACTGAAGAGAAATTGTAGGGTTAGAATCACGTTTGTAGTGCAATATTGAAACTTGGCGTTCTTAATGAACAAACCTATCAATGACATCTTTGTGCACGGCCTTGAAGTTATTGGGATCACCATCTTCGCCAAACTTGGGATAAACAGTACTCAAGTTGACACCACCAACAGAGACACGACTCCAAACAGCAACTAACAAGGAAAAAAGGATGGAATAATGATTGACATGTAAGGTGCAGTTAGTAGCCGTTGAAACAACTCACCGCTGGAATCACCATGCTCGCCAATGATGTAGCCATGAATTGAACTGGCAGCCAGATCCAGCTTCTGTCCAAGGATGTGTCTGAACCTAGCCGAATCCAAGATCGTTCCTGAGCCAATAACCCGATTTCTTGGCAATCCACTCAGTTTCCAGGTGACATAGGTAAGAATGTCAACTATAAGATTTTGAAGAAATGTACTCCAGTCAAGCACAATTTTAACCTTGCATAAATAAAACCATACCTGGGTTCGAAACGACCACGATGATACAGTCCGGACTGTACTTCACCACCTCAGGAATAATCGCTAAATGGGATAGGATGTGAAACACGTACAGCAAAAGGTGGGGAATTCCCATAAACATTTAAAACATACTCTTAAAGATATCGACGTTCCTTTGAACTAGGTTCAGTCTTGACTCGCCTACAACCTGTCGTGCACCAGCAGCAATAAAAACGACATCAGAGTGGCTGGTGTAGCTATAGTCTAGAAACAGGGTAAGCACTATATGAATATAGATACCTTTGCCCCCAATAACGTTGCAAGTGTGCAAAAACTGCGACCCATGTTGCATATCCAAAACTTCACCTTTGACTTTATCCTCGTTAAAATCAACGAGGGCTAAAATGCTAGCAAGACCCTAGTCTGATTACAGGAAAATATGTAAACGACATACCTTGGTCATAATCGAAAACCCAATAGCCATTCCAACGGATCCAACACCAACAATAGAGACTTTTGTTTTTGGCTTAGAATGTACATGTGATGCTAGTGGAACGAGGATAGAATGTTCAGCCATCATGTAGCCGGACCGATACCAAATGACCACAAGATCGAATATTGTCTGATTTTCAAGGTTAAAGGTACTAAAATTTGTCCATTTAAACAGAGCATGCGAGCATGACAATAGCTACAAAAAACAAAAACGGAATGCTGTGGCACAGATTTTACTTACACAGAAATCATTTTATGTTTAAACGAAAATAATTGTTTGAACTGAATCAAAATGAGGTCCTGGCAGTTGATATGCTTAAATATTGAATGCTTTAAGATGATACAAGTTTTCCTCTGCCCTAAAGGTGTACAGTTGAATAGAAGCCCTATGCACTTATAAAACGGATATTCCATTGTTCAAGAAGATAAGAGCAACTGTAGCATTAATTGAACTGTTTAGACCGCGATTTTTTGTTTACAAAGGTATTTTAGTTGCACAAAAGTCTAGTAAAATTTACCTACCCTCAGTCAAAGCTTAATTATTTGATACCTTGAGTATTGGTAAGCCACTGTAAGCTGTGTCAGCACAGAATAAGACTTTACACTACCGTACAAAATTGGTTGGGCGGCTTTAGGAATGGCTAAAGAGCCAGCCCTTCAGACAAAAGTACGCTCTGAGGAGGCTGAAGAGATCGAGACTATGCAAAATTCGGCACCACTACTAAGACTCATTCTCTCCTTTAGCGTTGTTGACGATCAACCTTTAGCCTCCGCCACCACAAAGCAGTCGGGATCCACGAAACACTAAATTTTCATGCAGCCCATAAAATGCCGATTTAACCGCCAACAGTCCATCTTGGTGACTCCATTGTATCTGAAGTTTTCTTTTGCTTGTAAAATATGTTGAGAAGATAGGATTCTTCAACCCTATGCTTTCCGAGGCTAGGCCAGAATACGTAGCTATTGGCCTTGCCTACTGGCCATTCAGCCCAGGGGACTCATAAGAGCCGTGCCCTTCAGCGCTCTCGTTACTAAAACGAAAGGCTAAATAACCAATCAAAGCATCACACAGCGTCCTAAGTAAGTATAAGTGATATCACAGAAGAGCATATCCATAAGCCAATTTATCCTTTTGAAATTGGATTTGCTGATGAACGCAATTAACTGAGTTGTTTCAGGCAATTTTCTTATAATTTTAGTAGCCTTGACATATTTTGATGAGGAATGTGTATTTCGCATGAAAATGACGCAGTTTACACGTTCTCATCGCTTTTACGGCTCGATGTTTTGTTAAACTTTCCAGTCTGCCAATTGAACTTCTGACCGTGTCTGCAGTCTCCCCCCTACTTTTGTAAATTAGTAGTATGGCTTGCTATGACTTCAAAGAAGACCGGAAGAGCTAAGCAGTAACCCTTTTTGAGCCAACACTCCTTTTTATCAAAACAATGTATTTTGTTGCCTTTTGGTGGAATTTTTCAGTTTTAACGTGGGTCTCCCAACCCAGTTATCAGCGTAAATGAAGTTTTCCCATTGCTTGAAAAGGTCACAATTCTTTTCAATTCTCTCAAAGGACTTTTATCACTTTTCACCTCCCTCAGTCTTCATATTTAGAAGAAAATGTAGCTTTTCACTTGCATACAAGAAGTAATAAACAAATTTTTCAATTGGTCTTTTGAAGGGTCCCTTTTGGGTGCTGATGCAGATAGAGGCGTTTGATTAAATCCATCCATTCAACTGGTCAGATGACATGCTGTCCAACTCTCTCAACCTTGTTTTACTGAAGATTGCAGAAACTGACCGTTCACAGAAAACGCTGATAGATGCTTCACCTAATCACTCACTCAGAATAGTGTCCTTCCAATTAGAATATTAGCAAATTATGGAGGCGGTGTTCGGTCGTACAAGAAGTTGGGATTTTCCCTCATCCCATTTGTACTAATCATATAATTAGATAATTTTTACGGCTTTGTAGAGACCAAAAATTGCGTGTGAATATGCAGCCCTTTCCCAGATAGGAGTAAAAATTTACCAACAGTCCGCAAAGATTTAAAGGCACCGCTAGTTGTTTGTGCTTATCTGCAGCCTCAGAGACGCACTGGTGTCACCAGGTTTCGCCCCCTGCGCCTTCAGGGATATGAGGTCACGCTTCAATTCGGCAAGAATCCGTGTCTCTTGTCTCACCAGGCGGATAAATTGTGAGAATAAGGGAAAGAATTTAGACGCTTTAAGTCAACAAACGTTATACATGTACCATCGTTAGATGGCCGTGAAATTCTCCATAAACAGGGACTAATTCAGGTAGGTTTTTCAAATAGGTGCTTTAGGGAGAATGCTAACCTCTCTTACAATTAAATATGCCCCAGAAAAAAAATGCCTTTTGGGCTAGATAACTTAAAATGAATTTTATCCGAGAGGCGTATCTTTCAAATAGCTAAAATATATGCATGTGTTTCATTCCTGTCACATTCCTGATCCCACTTAAGGTATCTATTTAATCCATGAAAATGAGGGATAATTTTTAGTCAAAGTTGAAACGATGGTTTTTTAAAGAGCAAATTTAATTAAGATTCTTTTTGCGCTTTTCGTGTTATGTTGAAAGTGGAAGACAAGGACTGCTTCAAATGGCTCGTTGACTCGGTTTTAGACTAACCATTGCCTTGACCATTCAACCGTGAAACTTCAATTACTCCCGCTGTAGTCATTCTATTTCCTTCGGATAAAAAGGAAACTAAAGAAAAGGCGCGACCTTTAGCTGCAAAAGCGCGGCACCTTACAAATCATGGTCAAACATTTGCACGTTCCTGAAAAGTGCTGAATGAGGCAGTATTTCTAGCATGCGGGGAAAAATGAGGAATGTGTTCGCACTCTTGCAGGAAATGGCACTGAACAGCCAAAACGAACATCAAACCTTAATGACTAAGGAGAATTATCCCCTACTGCACTAGAAACGTAAGGCATATTATTATGCCCCCAGCACTTTCAGAATGTAATACCTGCATGAAATATGAGCCGAAGTCTCCATAACTTATTCTTGGAAGTAATTCAAGTTCAAAGGAACAAGTGCTACGGGCACAAACTTTTTTAACGGGATCATTGGCAAAGGTTGAAAACTTGTGGCATTAAGATTTTAGAGACAGCATATTTCGGGAAAATCTACACCCCAATGAAAGGCTTTCTGCAGCTGAATTCAACTGCTAAATGACATCAGAGTCAGCATAATTTGTCAGCGGAAGCATAATAATTATATCGAGAAAAATCGCGGAAATCTGCCTATTCCAACCATTTGTGACCATGTTGGCGAAATTAGTACAAGAGTGGTTTGTAAACTATCAGGAAAAACCAACTTGCAGAGTAGCTGCACCAAATCAACTTCTTTACAACCTTGGAATGATTTTCTGTTGGGGTAGTTTGTAAGGAACTGGATGAAATCGAGAAATGTTCCGCTTTCTTTTGAAATTCATAAAAACTAACTGGCTGAAATGGGTTGTAAGTAGTGTGATTTGAGTGTCATGACTGCTCTCAAACCTCATGTAAGTAGGAAGGCCTTCTAGTTAAAAAGGAACATGCTGGGAGGATTTTCCATCTGTAAATCATATGGAAAGATAAACAATAATTAAATGCAATTTCTGGATTCAGTATGATAAGCATAACCTACGAGGGGAAGCTTGCTGAAATGCTTTGAGTAACAAACAGGCATGCAAAATGTCCACCTTACTAGTGCCCCCAAGTCAACTTAGTTAGCTTTGTGTTTGAGCCACCTACAAAGGCCTTTTTTGTCCCCAAGCAACTCAGTCTTGTTTCTTGTAAGCAGCCCCGATCACCCCACGTAAGCTGCCTGTCTCTTAGCTCTTCTAAATGGTCGCAACAAAGCTGCCTTCCAACTCACGCATGTGGACTGGCAGTACTCTGAGTTGTCCTACATCACACCCGATAGTAAAATAAGGTATCTTAATTCCCAATTACTACATTCACTACTTTCATTCGGACCGGTATCGCCTCCAAAAGAATGTTGCACTCTTTATGGATACCTCATGCGGTTAAAGGAATGCATCCTCCAGTGAAACGTGCAAGTCGTGTAATTTACTCCCCCTCTCCAGAGAGTAATTTATGGCGAGGCCCTCAACCACGCGCAAGACGAGGCTCCCTCCTCCACCTCCTCCTCTCAACACAAAGGGTCGTAAATACATACTAGAGTTAGCAAACTTGCTCACCTGCCCCACCCTCTCTGTGTATCTGATGAATAGGACCTGTCGTAAAGTACATAGCAGGTGTAATAACTAAAACTGTGACCCACGTCTCCTGGAGTCACGACTTTTCTTCGTACTGCTTTGGATATACACACTCTAGTGGTCTTTGCTTATAGCAACGACCAGCTACATCACCTATTTCCGCTTTGAAGAGGCTGTTAAGAAGAACTTAATTTGGCCTGCTAATTAAACCTGTACCTATGCTGAATTCTTTTTGCATTATATGTTTCGGGTACTCGGAGATAAAAGTAAAATTTAAAATATACTGTTTTAAGCAAAGTGAAACAAAGGAAGTTCACAAATTAAGCCGTCTAGCTTAAACTGCCCTCTACCATACATCCTGTTAGCTTGTAAGAGTGAATTTCCCTTAATTTTTACTTTTTACTAGTCAAAAATAAGTAAAAGTTGTAACCAAATAGAACACTTAACTGCACACCTAACATACTACTTAGAATGGTGTTCAGTAGCGAGGATTTAACTTGATCCATTTGAAGAGGTTTGATCAATAGCCTCATCTTTTGATTCCATAATCTTTTGGGTTTACATTAATCTTATGAAACGTAACTACCGCCCACTGCAATCCCCTACCCGGTGTGCTACACAAGGTAAATAGTTCATTCAAACAATTAGTTTTTTAATACTTGAAATGGTGCTGGAATCACTCCATAAAGGGGTTTATTGGAATTTGTTTTGTTTTTTGTGTGATTAAAGTATGAAAGTTCTTCATGCGAGAATTCACGCCAAAACTTGATCTGTAACTCGAAAAAAAATGAATTCGAGTCTTTAACCACAGGAATGGGGGTATAATTTCACACTTCTAAGTTAAAAAGTCAAAAGTTTTCCTTATGTATATAATTTGAATTAGTTGAAATACACTAGCACTAATCCTGTGTCCCAACCATTCCTAGTGTGATGGATATTGCACAAGATGAGGAAATGTTGGAGACAACGTGATTATGGCGAAAACCATTTACCTCAACCGAAAATTTTTGAATTAAAGATAAG